CTCTCCTCTCCTCTCCTCTCCTCTCCTCTCCTCTCCTCTCCCTTTGCTTGCCTGAAGTTTCCTGTCTCATGCCCATAGTTTCCACGACAACCAATCTAGGCTGGTCTTAGTCTATGGACCGTGTAATCTGGGCGATACAGAGCTCATCTGAGGCTCAGTGTGCAAGAACCATTGTATCTGTGTGTATGGGACAGTTGCCATAGTAATATATAGGGCACATAATATACACGTGGAAACATCTGGACTTCGTGTTGACCAGAGAAGCAAGGGGATGTGGTTTTCACTGGTACAATTTCAGAAAGAGTGCCCTAGATTAGGTATTTCTTCCTGCTTTTCCCTGCTGGAAGTCCTAAGAGCAGGGGAAGAGGAGATTCCATACCCTCTCACCTACCTAATTTACAGGACCAGTGGAGGTGCAGAGAAAACAGGCATCTAATGCCATGTAGCAAGTCCAGAAGAGAACCCAGGACCTCCAAGATGTGAGATTAGGGTAAACCCCAATCTCAAGCTTGTGGAGGCTGTTAGGGTCACTGGAATTGAGAAGGACAGAATTCATAAAGCTGAGGCAAGAAAGAGGCTAGCTGTACTGTGCGTCACTTCCTCTGTCCACGGGATGGTTCCCCCCCCAACCCCTGCCCCCGCCCACCCACCCACACTCTTCTCTCCCTGGATGCAGTGGGCCAGTCTTAACCGTGACCATGAGCCTAAATCCACTTTAACCTCTGGGGCAGCAAGTGTAGGGTTACAGGATCTCATCAACAGGACCGTGGGATTTCATGTTAAGGAGGCTCCATGCTTCTTGGAACAGTATGCAGCATGAAGCAGCTCTCCAGCTTCAGCTACAGTGGCTGAAGGATGTTGTGGAAGGTTGTAGGACCCTAACCGAGTGGCACTCAAAGTCTCATTATCTTGGGTACCCCCAGTATGGTCTTGGGCAAGTTTCTTTCTCCACTAAATGAAGACAGTGGTACTCCCTGACTCATAGAGTTTATGAAATAAGGTAGATAATGTGTGTAAGAGGGCCCCTGGTACCCGGTTCCTGTGGGATCACCTGTCCTCAGTTCAGCAAGCCTCAGTACGTCATCACTGTCTGCCTTACGTAGGAGGCTTTCAATTCAGTGGTGGCAGAGGGTCCCGCCCCGGGATGCAAGTAAGCAGACTATGACTCCGTAGCCCTTGACTACAGTCAGCGGGCAGGAAAGGCACAAAGTTGGGTGGGGCGGTCAAAGAAGGCTGAGCAAGGAGGCCTTGCAAGAGGTATTGGACCTGAACACATATAGAGAAAGGCCAGGCAAAGCGGAGGTGCAGGGGTGGCTTAGACCTGGACAGAGGCAAGGAGGAAAGCGAAGGGCCAGGAGGTGATGCCAGAGCTGTGAAGGGCTTGTGTCCTGGTCAGCACAGGCCTGTGTGGCAGCCAGGCCCCAGAGGGTGGGGGGCTCCTTACCTGCAAGGCCACCCAGACCACCACGTTAGGGATCCTCTTCCTGCAGATCACAGAGCTGTAGCTAATGCCTGCAGATCCTGAGCCCACGCCTCCCACCTCCAGGACAGCCCTCTGAGAACGAGCCGCCAGGAAGAAAGGTCCCATGCTCAGGCGTGGGGTCCAGAACACCCGGCAAGAACAAGGAACAGCAGCCCAGCCCTGAGCTAGACTCTGCTGGCCCCAGACATTCTAGCCTTGGGGATCCTGAGGAGCCTGTGGCTGGAGGAGGGGCCTGTCCTCTGCCCTTACACACCAGATCTGGAGCAGGCTCTCTTGAACAGCCCTTAACTCCTGTTACCTCAGGTTCTACAGACCCCTGGAAGAGGGTCAGTGCCTCCCTAGACTCAAGGAGATGTCTAGCTGGCTTCAGATCCTGTCTCCTCGTGTGACCGGAAATGACTTGGTCTTCTTCTCCAGGCCTCCCCGCTCCTTTCTGTACCATCCCTGCCCTGTCAGAGCTCAGAGGAGGGGAAGGCCATGCCAGGAGTTCTAAGGAATGCGTGCTGCAGCTTAGGGTTGATCCACATTTCTGTCCTCTTGGGACTGGGGCAGGGGCAGAGTGGGGGTTGACTGAGGTCTAGAACCCTGGTTCTATTACCAGCTTTCAGCTTGCCAAGCCTCATTTTTGTCTAGTAGGCAGGCAGCAGACCAATCTAGGAGGACTTCCTGGAGGTATAAGCATGCTGGGGCGTTGTGTGACATCACTGTGTCCATTATTGAATTTTCTTGTCCACACCGGAGTAAATGGTGAACTCTAGTCCTTGTTTAGTACTAATGCGTGTGCCAGACAGGCTGGGCTGTGAGAATATCTCGGACACGCTTGCCCCTTTCTCTCAGAAGGGCAGGAAATCTCCCCCATACCTCTGAACGCAGCAGCAGTTTGGGGGCATGAGGTAGTCTTTCAGCGAGATGTCCCAAGGTCATCCCCCGAAGATATGGCTTTTCCTGCGAAGGGGACAAGGACAGAGCCTCCTGTCCTAAGGCTACAGAGAAGCGAGAAAAGATGTGGCTGGGCCGCCATCCCAGAGGCCTGGCTTCCACTCCACACTCCAGCTGTGCTGTCTCTCACCACAGGGTACTGAGAGGTCACCCCTGTTTACAGGCCCCACACATCTGTTCTGAGTCACGCATTCATTCATTTCGTTAGTCGTCATTCACCAACTATCCCTGAGAGCCCACTGTGCGCACAGGACTTTGATGGCCTTTGAGGACAAGTCCAACCAGAAAAATGGATTCTTGAGAAACACAAATAAACGCGTGATGAATGATGGCTACAGATGTGAGGAAATCCTTACAGAGGCTGCAGTGAACTGTGGGGAGAGTCGGGGTGCCATCCATAAAGGAGAAGCATTCTCCTTCACCAGGGGTTGAGGAGAGCCAGGTTTGATGGCACGTGGGTAATTTCAGCGTTCAGAAAAGACTAAGGCATGAGGACAGTAAGTTCAAGGCTAGCCTGGTGAGAGCCTGTCTTAACAATCCCAGCACATTGAGGGGCGGGGACCGCAGAGAGAGACAGGAGGATCTCTGAGTTTGAGGCCAGCCTGGTCTACAAATCAAGTTCCAGGACAAAAAAAAATAAACAGAGAGAGACAGAGAGACAGATTCCTATCCAAGAGTTGTACTGGCCAAAAACCTTGGGGAAATATCCTTGATCACTCTCTCTCCTACACACCCACATTTAGCCAAAGAGCAAATTTCTAATGGCTCCAAAGTGTACCATGGCTGACCACTTCTCATGACCGCCATCCCCAGCACCATCATCTTTCAGCTGGATTCACCACTTCAGCCAATGACCCCAACAATTTGCCTCCACATAAGACTCAAAGTGATCTTTTCCAAGGGGAAGCCAGGTCTCTCCCTGGCCTACAGTGCTATTCTGCATGACAAGTCCTTATATGAAGACCTCGGAGGCCCCCATGCCCCGCCTCCCACCATACCTCTCACTCTCTTTCTGCAGCATTCCTTCCTTTCCTGGCCGAGCTCTTATCTCCCTTGCTGTCTTTGCAACACATCAGGAATTTCTTATTTCCATTTTTCTTTCTCCTTAGCATTTTTTATATTGATTTTGTGTGTGTGTCTGTAGGAGCCCAGAGGATAACTTTCAGGAGTCAGTTCTGTCACGTGAATGCTGGGAATGGAACCCCGGTCGTCAGGCTTAGGGCCAGGTGCGCTTACCCACTGAACTATCTTGCTGGCCCCTCCTTAGTGCTTTTAAGTGGCTGGTATCTCTGGCTAATTTTCTGTCTTGCCCATATGAACATAAACTCCACAAGGACAAGAGTTTTTAGTTTTGTGATCCGAAAATCCCCCAGCAGCTAGCCCAGCTGACCCGAACCAGCATGAGCATTGGGGATGGGCTTTCTAGAGACTTGTTGTTTAAACATCAGCTATTTCCACAGTCTCTAGCCTGGCCTTGCCCACATTCTGTCATCCCCAATGAGGGACTGAGTGACATAGAAAAATGACCTGGTAGAAGGAAGTTAGGAGCAATAGATTTTACAGAGACGGGTTGTCGGAATCTTCCTGGGAAGTGACAAGCAGGCACTTCACAGGAGGATGAGCCCAGAAAGCCTTAAAGAAAGAGCTTGTCACTCTTTGGGGTTGACAGCACCCCCAGCCCTAGCCCAGGATGGATAGGCTAGGCTTGCAGTCACGTGGTTGCGTTTCCAGTCCTTGATCTCCAGATCCTAACTGTGGGCACAGAAACAAGTACCACCTGTCCCCGAACTCTGTCCTGTGCTGGGTGGGGAGCAAAGTGTGGGCTCCTTTGCCCACTCCTGTCTCCCTCACACTCCCTTCGTCCAAGGTCACCTTTCAAGGTCATCAGGGCAGGACCAGTCTAGCTCACGTGTCTACCTTCTTCTCTCTTCCCTCCAGCTCCACTAACATTAGCCCAACTGGCAGAGCCCCAGACCATCGCCCCCTCACCCTGGGTTACAGCATTTCTAGTCACAGGGGTGTGAGAATGTCAAGTCCCACAGCATGCCTGTCCCTGGCCCTAGGCCTACATCTTCATTCCTCAAATTGCTTCAAGATAATAGTCAACAGATATGGTCAAATTACACAGCCCATTTCCACTACAGAAACTGGCAGAAATGGAGTATCGAGCTTGTTTTAGGAGACCGAGGGACTGAAGAAGATACAGATGCTTCCAAACCAGCCTCTTTTCCCACCTCCCCAGGAACTGACGGGGAACCAGTCCTCACATAAGGTTACTGACATCACAGCACCCTCCTCCATCTGCCCAGCCCATTAATGATCGTTGGTCCCAATGCAATGAACACTTGAGCCCTGGCGTTTTTTGCAGGGTAGCAAAGGGGGGAAATGACTGAATAGGAGGGGCTCAGGGTTGATCCTGGGGATAGTATGACATGGCAGAACCCCCTCTTTTGAGGAATCGCTGTAGGAAAGGCTCTGTACATATCGGCTTTATCGACGGATGCCAGAATGGCTGTTGCCACGGCAGCAGAGCATTTGCACTCCAGGAGAGAATGGTTGGGAAATTCAGGGGATGTGAAAAGAATAAAAAGGGCGAGATGGAGGTAGAGGTGGTATTAGAGAGCCTTGGAGTATTCCAAGATGCCAAGATAGTGTTTAAAGGGACCACCACCCGGCCATGGCAAGACCCTTTCAAGACAGGAGGAGGACTGGCAGTGAGTTAATTCATGACATTGTGCATAGATAGTATTTTACATCTCAGGAACTGACAGGTGATGTGCTGGGAGGTGAGTGGGAGGGAGAGGGATCCAGACTTAGACGGCAGGAAGGCGCGGTGCCTCTCTTCTGATACGAACAGATACCAACTTGATTTCAGCCAAAAGTCTGAGGAGTGATCTTTCCTTTATCTGCTCTGTCTTCTTCTAACGAGAAGCAGAATTTCAGGGGCTGTTTATTGGAGGGAGAAAAGGGACTTGAGATTTGGGGAATATGATATCCCATGAGAGAAGCTGCAGAGGAACAAAGAGGATACAGAGAAGAGGAAGAACTAAGCTAACACGTGGAATCGAATAAGGGAGTGAGACAACCATGGCGGAAGGAAGGTCAGGTCCCAGGGGCAGTAGGCATCCGGAGCAAAGGAAATGCAGGTGGACAGACAGATCATGGACTAGGGTTTCATAAACTGCTGAAGGTTTTACTACAGATATGGACACCAGGGACGAGGGCTCAGGTTAAGCCAGGCGTTTTGGCTGCAGCAGTAGACGTGGGTGGATGGACCTAGGGTTGTTCAGTCAGGATGGTAATTAGCCAATTTCGTTAGCTAAGGCAGAGATGAGTTTACATGCAGGGGGAAAACTATCAACAACAACCAAGAACTTGGTAAATCAGCCCACAGGTATCCTTTGGTTTCTAAATTGTAATTTTAGAGAAAGCAACATTTCCACCGGATTGAATCAGGGAAATCTCGACTAAATTACAAGATGACAGGTGGATAAGAATGAGGACTTTAACAACGATGGTTTGTCTGTAACCCCAGCACTCAGGGGGGCTGAGGCAGGAGGATCTCAAGCTCTAGTTGTTTGTGACACTGTTACAAGTAGTCTGTGGGATCAGAGATGCTCTTACTCTTGCTTGAACTAGGAGCTTATTTCAGGCATGAGGATGTGTGTGTCCTATGGCCAGCCTCTCTATGCCTGGTCATGTTCTAGCAGGATACTACTCAGTATTCCTTTGACCAGCTTCAAATTGCTTGTTTCCTCCATGGACTCACAGTCTTGGCTCCACCTCTGTGTTTCCTAAGATCTGGACTCAGGGCCTCTGAGCACTGTCTTCCTGGCCAATCTCTTCCCAAGGACCTCTTGTCATTCCTGTGAGGAGAACACATACCCATGCCTGCCTCCCTGAGATAAATGTGCTCGACACTTCATTTTCACAGGCACAAAGTTATTTCCCCAAGTCTTGGGTTGTCTGCCTTGTATTCCCTGCCAGACATTGAGTCCCTTGAGGCCAGACTCTCCATCTCTCTTTGGATCTCTGAGGCCAGCTGAAAGTCCACAGCTCTTGCCAAAGAGCTCTCTGCCCAATAACTCCCATTCTCAGAGCTGCGCTCGACACGGCCTCTCTGCTCTAGTCCCTGTCCTAGAAAGGTTTATAGACTCTCAACTGGGACCGAGGAAGTTAGAGCATCCTGGGCTCTGGTCAGCACCTGGTGTCCAGCATTTAGACCTCAGAGACCTTTAACCATCAACACCTGCCCTGGGCTAGTGGGGCACTTGGAGAGCGCCTATGCTGATGGGACCGACATATCCAGGATCTTTTTCATGGGTTCTGCAGCTCGGCAGAGGGACCGATGCCACGTCTCTTTGGAGTCCTTAGGTTTCAAAGCCCCTTTGCCTATGAAGCTGTATTATAACCACTGTAGGAGTGACAGACAGCAAGAAAGCTGCAATGACTTTGACAAGGTCATGTGATCAAGTAGAATGGGGACTCAGACTTCTGCTCCCAAGGGTTAGCCCCTTCCTCTTACATCCCAGCCCCCCCCCTTCCCTGTCAACCCTGAGCCCTGTCTAAACCACCCTGCCCTGTACTGTGCCCCTTACCTTCTGGGCTTATGAGGGCAAACTGTGCCCTAGAGGGACTGAAGGTACCAAGAGAGTTTTCCTAGGGGGAAACCGAAGGTGGTTTGTGGGAACTTCCCTTGGGCGGGCTCTGCCGGTTTCTACCCAGGACCCCACCGGGCAACTCTCTCTCCTATGTCCACAGATACCCATTCTCAATACCTTTACCTGAGCCCCTAAATCTCCTCCACGGATACATTTTCCCGGATGCAGCAGGAAACCATATACCCCACCTCTCTGCAGCAAGCAAGGAGAAAAACGGGTGGGATCCTTTCTGTGCCCCCAGGGCTCAGCTCACAGACACCTCCCCCTCCCGAGCCAGAAATAGACACACTCTCTCCCCTCCCTCCCTCCCCTTGCGCTCACTCCACCCCTCCTCCTGTTTGCTCCCCGCCTTCCCCCTCCCCTTCTTCCCTGGGAGCTGCAGCCCGCAGCCTCTCCGCGAGCTGGAAGGAGGAGTGTGGTGAGGGCGCTGCCCGGGAGTGTGCGGCCCTCAGCACAGATCGGCCGCCGGGGACTTAGACGAGATCCCAGCATCGCAGCACGTCCCCGCGTCGATGGAGCTTCCGGGCTTCCATCCTTCCTTTGACTGATTTAAATTTTTTAATTTATATTCTCCCCGCCCCGCCCCTTTTTCTTCGACCCCGCCCCATCTCCCGCTGTTTCCTTGCCTTTTCCTCTTCCCGGGCTTCCTTCCCTGCATCTCTTTCCCTTTCGCCCTCTGCTCGCCCCCTTGCTCCCTCCCCTTCCTCTCCCCTTCCTCCGCGGTTTCTTCCGTCTCCCCCCTCCCCACTCCGCCCCCTCCTCTCCCGGCGCTCCCGCCTCCTTCCCCCGCCCCGTGCCTGCAGACGCGCGGATCGTCCATGCGCTCCTGGCAGGCAGAATGCTGGGCAGCAGCGTCAAGAGCGTGCAGCCCGAGGTGGAGCTGAGCGGCGGCAGCGGCAGCGGCGGCGACGAGGGCGCGGACGAGCCTCGGGGAGCCAGCAGAAAGGCGGCCGCGGCGGACGGCAGAGGCATGCTGCCCAAGCGCGCCAAGGCGGCGGTCGGCGGTGGCAGTATGGCCAAGGCCAGCGCAGCGGAGCTGAAGGTCTTCAAGTCCGGCAGCGTGGACAGCCGTGTCCCCGGTGGGCCGCCGGCCTCCAACCTGCGCAAACAGAAGTCACTCACCAACCTCTCGTTTCTCACGGACTCCGAGAAAAAGCTGCAGCTGTATGAGCCTGAGTGGAGCGATGATATGGCCAAGGCACCCAAAGGTTTGGGCAAATTGGGGCCCAAGGGCCGCGAGGCTCCTCTAATGTCCAAGACACTGTCCAAATCAGAGCACTCGCTCTTTCAGCCCAAAGGAGCCCCCGCGAGCGGCGGCGCCAAGACCCCACTGGCTCCGCTAGCGCCCAGCCTAGGCAAACCCAGTCGGATTCCTCGCGGACCCTATGCGGAGGTCAAGCCTCTCAGTAAGGCGCCTGAGGCAGCGGTGAGCGACGATGGCAAATCGGATGACGAGCTGCTTTCCAGCAAGGCTAAGGCGCAGAAGGGCTCAGGGACTGTGCCCTCAGCCAAGGGCCAGGAGGAGCGGGCCTTCCTCAAGGTGGACCCCGAGCTCGTGGTAACCGTGCTGGGCGACCTGGAGCAGCTGCTCTTCAGCCAGATGCTGGGTAAGTCTTGCCGCCCCGCCCCACCCCGCCCCTGGTTTTCTCCTGGCCCGCTGCAGGGAGAGGTGGGGAAAGCGAAGCTTCCTCCCTTTCCCCTTATATGATCACCGGCCAGGTTAGGAGGGGCATTGCTGCCCAGATGTGCAGAGCTGGCCTACCTCCAGCTGTGTCTGGCTAATGCATGTCTTAAAGATGTCGCTGGTGGTAGCCTGGGCTCTGCTGTGGCCTGTCGGAGGTGAGGGTGGACAATGGGGGCGCGGGGACTGAGGTCCTCAGAAACCATTAGCTCCCCTGAATTTTGAAGTCCAGAGTCCTAATATGGCAAACCACGGTGAGGTTGGTAGAGACACTAGCTGAGGAGTGGTCTGCGGCGGATAACACAGCATCCAAAATTGCCAGGAGAGCATTGGTAAGAGCCCAGATCTAGAGCACAGATGTAGGGAGAGCAGATGTGAGGGCCAGTTGGTCTTTGGAGCAGAGCTGAGGCTCCACTTCCTCTGTGGACCCCGGGTGGGAGCTTGAATCGGATTTCCCGGGTGTGGGGGACCTGGCAACAAGAAGTGTCTGGGGCCAGGGAGGCGGGCGGGCAGCCAGCTGCGCGCATCTGGAGGCGTCCTTTTCCTCAACCCCAAGCAACCCCCCCCCCATCCCCCTAAGTGTTTTAGGAAAGGTCTGGGCTTTTGCGCAGAGACTCCCGAGAAGCCTTTGCCCTTTGGCTAATGAAAGCCAAGCTGGCGGGAAGGGAGGAACAAAGCTTCCTCGATGGAGGAAGCTGGAGAGCTAGCTGCTCCATTGTTCTCCAAGCCTGAACAGTCCGAGCAAAAAACCCGGAGCCAGCCCGGGAACCGTGCTTTCTTTCTGTAGAGCCTGTCCTCAAACAGGGATGCATGGAGGATGTGCCTGACGAGGAGGCTTCAGTGCCTCGGAAGCTTACACCGGCAATACAGGGGCTGCGGGAGGTCGGCCGCGAGCCACCTCGGGTGCACGGACTTGTTGCAGTGGATGGGATGTGGATCCTCAGGCGCCGGAGCCCAGGGACCCCATCTTCTTGGGTACCTTGCAGGCCCGGACCAGCTCTGCTGGGGGCTGGGAAGGGGCGTGTCGTGAGCGTGTGAAGGGGCGGGGCCGAGAGGAGGGTAGCGGTCCAAGTGACCGGATGGATGGATGGATGGATGGAGGTAGGAGCGGGTGCTCGCCCAAGGCCCCTGGAGAATGCTGAAGGAAACCTGTTCAGACTGCTGCAGTCTTCCTGAGACATCCCTGCCTGTGGTGTGGCGAGGGTCTGGTGAACGAGGATTCCGCCTCTGACAGACAGAGTCTGGTGAACGAGGATTCCGCCTCTGACACGGATGGCTTTTGCAGAGGCAGTCAGGGAACTGGGCACAGGGAGGGAAGCAGCCTTGTCCGTTTAGAAAGCTGCCCCCCCCCAATTCGATGGACAGTGAAAAGGGGGGGATGGGATGGAGTGTGCAGAAGTGCCAGGCGGAAGTGCCACCCTGTTGCCTGCTATCAGAGGTCCTCCCCTCAAGGAGCTTGCCATTCAGTGGGCTTAGACAGATGATAAGGAAAACAAAACGCTAGGCACTGGGTGGGGGGCGCTGTTCTAGAGAGGGACTGAGGAGGGAGGCCTCTCTGAAGAAGGTGGTCATGGGACTGTGACTGAGACACGAGGCTATCTTGTATTGAACACAGCCTGAGAGAATGAGAGGACTGAGGGAGAAAGGGCCTTCATGTGCTTTGGGCAGGGGAAGATGAGTGTGGCCCGGACAGGTAGAGGGCACAGCCCCATTTTCAAGGTCAGAGCTTCCTCTGTTTGGGGTGGGTTAGCTAAGCCCTCCGTAATCAAGGCATTCCCCACACTGCCCATCAAAGGCCTCTTAGTTGCTTCTCAAGATGGGGCACCACACGCACTTTGGCAGCTGGTCCTAGAGCTGGCTCGGGGCAGGAGGGGCAAAGGAGCCGAGCTAGGGGGCCTCAGTCCTTCCGGCTCAGCTGTCATTTCCCCGAGCGCACTTCCACAAGACCACGCAACAATTATAGGGTGACAAGGGTGCTCCCCCCTTTCTAGCTGGGCAGATGCTGGGCCACAGTGCGAGGAGGGCCTGTCTCCTGAGCTGAGGAATGCATTTCCTCCTGCATCCTCAGTTACAGCTCTTCCATGGGGGACCCAGGAGGAGGAGGAGGGGCCCACCGGTGTGGAGGGCTCTGAGGAAGGTCCTGGGCCCGGAGAGCAGTTTTTGGAGCAGGCCTCGTGGAGGCTAAGGCGCTTCACTCTCAGGTGGAGGGAAGAGGTGGGAAGTCTGCAGAGGTTGCTGTACTGCCTCCAGCTGAGAAGGTCAAGACAGGGTGGCATCAGGCCCCAGGATACCCTCTGGCATCAGATGATGGGGAGGCATTTGGAGACTAGGCAAAGCCTTTTCCCTGTGTGAACATGAGGTAGAGGGGACACTGTCCAGGAGTAAGGGGGATAGCAGAACTGACTGGCATCCCAGGGCCTGTACACGTGTGCCCTGTGTCGGAGGAACGTGGTGTGGGGCAGAGTGGCCTCTGGAGAGAATCCTGCTGTGATGTCTCCCCACGGCTAAAGTCATGGAGTTTTTGCTCCGGCCCATGAGGTCCAGTACCAGCTTATAATCATTCCCTAGCACCATTTCAGTCCCAAATTCCCAAGCAAATGGCAGGGAGGTGGGGCAGGCAGCCCCAAATAAGAACCTTTCTAGAATAAAGGGGAAGAACTGAAATCTGATCATCCTTTCCCCAAAACTCAGCTGGGGCCCAGATGATCTAAACAGCCTCCCTGTCCCTTCCCTAACCTGAAAGCTGCCAAGTAACCAGGGTCCCCCTGGAGAGCCCTGGAAACTTAGAAGGCTGAGGGGGAGCCCCAGGGGAAATAGGCCAGTTCCAGTGCCCGAACTTGATCGTCCGTATGAGATAGCTTTGGCTCTGGAGCAAGTCCACCAGGCCAGCTCTGGGGCGAAGCAGAAACTAATATTCCCAAATCCTTGTCCAAGAGTCCTAAGTTCTGGTTCCTCCCCTGGGGCTCAGTTTCCCCAAATATGAGTGGAGAGGCCCCTCCCATGGCTCATCCTATCAGGGTGGGACAGTGATTAGACCCTGTAAACATCCCAGGTGGATTAGAGAGCACTTATATTAACATAGAGAAGTTAAAATGGCAGTTATATCCCAAACCATACTTCAGCTCATCAGCCCTCTGTCTAAAGATTCAAGCAAAGTCAGTCTATTGACTCCCCAAACATTCAACTGCCCCCCGCCATTCAGCTCTCCAGGGAAGAATGGACAGAGTAAAACAATTAAGATGGTCCGAGGTCAGGGTCTGAAAGAACCCAGGATCTTGAGTTCCTACTCCTGTTTTTTCACAGAAGGTGTCTGGCATCCAAGGAGGGGTTTCCATGACAACAGTTCTCTGCCCTCAGAAGCACAGACCAAATAGAATTGAGGAAGAAAGACAGGAAGCTATCCATTTCTAAGGCCCCTGGGCTTTGGGGAGGAGGGCTGGGAAAGGGTTGCTTCATGGATTTGTTTTGAGTGCTGTGGGATGACCTGTTTTCACACGTACTTCTTTCTTTGGTACCCTGGTGGGGAGTGGAGATGTGACTCCATAATCACTGCCCAGAGCAGACAGGTGTGTGTGCGTGTAAGCTCACCCAGCAGGCGTGTGTGTGTGTGTGTGTGTGTGTGTGTGTGTTACATGTGTGTGCAAGATCACCCAGCAGGCAGGTGTGTGTGTGTGTGTGTGTGTGCAAGCTCACCCAGTAGGCAGGGGTGTGTGGGGTGTGCAAATTTACCCAGCAGGCAGGTGTGTATGTGTAAGCTCACCCAGCAGGCGTGTGTGTGTGTGTGTGTGTGTGTGTGTGTGTGTGTGT